CATCATCATCATCATCATCATCATCATCATCATCATCATCAACATCAACATCAACATCAACATCAACAAAACAGACCGCTCAACCACAAAAGCACAACTTTAAGAGCGCCGCGGCTGTTTCTACTCTCCATCTCGACTCATTATACACTCACCTACTTCACCTCGACCCCGCAAGAAAGCATGCAGGCGGAGGGGCGACACGGGAGAAGATCCTGGAGCTCGCCATGCAGCCTGCGATCGCCTCTCCGAGCTCTCCATCGTCATCGTCATCGCGATCGCGATCGCCAGCCAGGCTGCATGCAGAAGTCTGCCCGCCCCCGCCATTGCGCCCTTAGCTTGGCGGTTACGGGATCCGTAAGTATGTAACGATGTGTCGTTACAGCAGTTATTTACACCATCCAAAAGCGGCGAAATGCTGCATTGCTCTGTGAGTTGCTTGATAGGCTAGAGGTACAGGGGCAGGAGCGAAGGAGGAGGAGCCGCAAGAGGAGCAGCAGCAGCAGATTAAGATCACTCAGAGCTGAGGAGACGGTGGACTGAGTCAGGCAGATCGGAAGAAGGAGGAGGAGGGCAACGGACCTCCTGTAGCGAAAACGAGCCTGTAGTTTCGAAATCGTCTAAAGCAGAGAGTCTGCGCTGGCTAGCACGTTGTGCTCATGCCATGCAGCAGCTCTGAGCCTGCTCGGAAGCATGGGCAGCTGAGCGAGCAGGCTGACGAGATAGTCCGCCAGCTGCAGCCCCACAGGAGGGCGGAGCGACACCGGCTGACAGTGTTCGAGTACGTGAAAAAGCTGATCAAGCACGTGGCGGACGAGGAGAACAAGACTGAGATTTACGTGCATCGCTTCGGCTCCGTACCTCTCAAGACTTACCTCCCCCATGGCGACCTCGACGTCACTGCGTTCGCCGCCAACGACTTGTGGCTGGAGAGGCTCAAGGCGAAGCTGGAGGACGAAGCGAAGAAGAACGACATGTACGTTGTCAGTGGCGTGCACTCAGTCCCCAGAGACTTGCGCGCTCAGTCGAGGGAGGAGCTGGGGAAGAAGGATCAGGGGCCCGTGGAGATAGTCAAGGTAGTCAAGTGCCAGGTGAACGGCATATCTGTGGACATCACGGCGAACGCGCTAGGGGGCATGTGCAACCTGTGCTTCCTAGAGAAGGTGGACACGATGCTGAAGAGAGATCATCTTTTCAAGAGAGCGACGATCCTCGTCAAGTCCTGGTGCTACTTCGAGTCGCACATCCTTAGCTCGCAGAACGGGCTCCTGTCGACGTACGCCCTCGAGACCCTCGTCCTTTGCATCGTCAACATCTTTCACGAGGAGCTGCAGACGCCCCTGGACGTGCTCAAGAGGTTCCTGGAGTACTACGCCAACTTCGACTGGAGGAACCACTGCCTGACGATGCGGGGGCCGGTGAATCGCTCCAACATCCCCCCGGGGGGGGAGGTGCCGCACCTCGACAACGAGCCGAGCTACCTGCTCAACGACGCGATCCTTCAGGAAGACTCCCATCTTCAGTTCCTCATGTCTGGTCTGCAGGATGACAATCGAGGCTTCCAATGGAAGTATATGAACATCTGTGACCCGCTGAGCACCAGGAACAACATTGGCAGGTCCGTCTCCCGGTCCTCTGCCTACAGGATTGCGAGTGCGTTCAGACACGGCTGGCAGAGCCTGTCGGGCCTGCTCTACTGCTCCCTCCACCACAACTCTAGCATCTCCCTCACCAAGTCAGAGAAGTCAGCAAGAGCCTTCTTCCACTTCACAGGCAAGACATTGACCGGACATCGGCCCGACGTGGGCGACTTCTCGTTCCCTAACGCTAGCAGGAATGCTTCTTCGACGGTGAGCAGCCGGTCGACCGATCAGGGCCAGTCGGCCGCGTCAGTGTCGGAGAACTCGCACGAAGGGACGTCGGACTGCGAGGCCGAGCACGAGGGCAGCTCGTACCCACCTGCAGAGATCGGCATCCAGACCGCAGAGGCGCTTTCCCAGCTCAACAAAGACTTCAACGGCATCGTGACAAGCTCTCCCATCCTCCACTTCCGCCAGCCCCACAAGGAGCAGGGCGTCAACTCCGAGCTAGCAGAGCCGCCGGAGGCGACCGGGCATGAAGGGGACGAGGGTGGGATCGGGCACGAGGAGCAGACTGTCGTCAACATGGAGATGCTGCCGGCTCAGCGGAGGGATGTGGGCCATGGTCTTGCGGAGAAGCAGCTTGCAGGACAAGGGCAAGGGCAGAAGATCTCATCGGAGCCGCTGGACAGCCTCGACGAACCGCTGCGGCATGGAAGGTCGGGGGATCCCTTGAACGAACTCGCTCCTTCCTGTTGGACTGACGCGGAGACCAGGTGCAAGGAGAACGATGGATCCTCGGAGAACTCAGGTATCTCCTCGCCCTCTCCTTCGTGCTCGCCATGCCCTCGTCTCCCTCTCCCTGCCCTTACGGATCTGCTCTTCATCCTCCACAACATTCGCCCCTTCCTCCTCCTGTTCGCCCTGCTCCCTTTGTTGACAAGGTACTCAGGTTTCAGTGACTCAGACAATGAGCACATGCTGCACGCGCAAAGCCAGAGGTGCGACATCCTATGACCACGTGAGGAGGGGACGCTCGCTGAATCCTCTCGCAGCATGGAGAACGACGTTCATGTCCTGGACACGGACGTACAAGAGCTCATGGACGAGCTGGCGATTGTGAGGGATGCTATCAACCAGTTCCAGGTGACTCTACATGGGACCCTGATGTTGCTTCCTCCTCTGACCTCCCGCTGCTTTCAGTTCCCCGTCGGTGTGGCTCGCGTGCGGCTTCCGGAGGACTTCCCCCCTCTGATGTCCTCCGAAGTTCCTGTGAACCCGGGATAAGCCGGGTTGTGCTGATAGCCTGAAAAAGTTCAACATGGTAAAGACTTTTGTTTGCGCGTGCCGAGCCCTGTACTGTTGGTAGTTCCCCCTTGTAGAGGAGTGGCAAAGGACTCTTGTGACAGTTTCCAGTTAGCCCTCAAACAAGCTCTTGGAGATCAAACGATCTCAACGATTTCCTCACGTTGGAATCTGACCCCTTCTTGCGGCTTTTTCCCCACCTTCAAGTATCCCATCTGCATTGTTCAATGACTTGACGATTCGTGAAAACTACTTGGTTTACAGATACAAATACTTAAGTGCGAATGAATCTCTTTTACTCGATAGAAAGCTCCTGAATCAGAGAAAGTTGAAACTGCAAGATAAGTCACCAAAAAGCGGGTGGAGGAGACAAGTCATCTCACAATCTTCTCCGCCTTCAACTTGTCGAGCTTGGCTTTGCTCTTCTGCAGTATAGCACAACGATCAACAGATGAATCGATCAGGACGACGAGATAAGGAATGCAGTGCAAAGAAGGGAAGAGAAGAAAGGAGAGGAAAAGAGAGGAGAGCAGAGCAGAGCAGAGCAGAGCAGAGCAGAGCAGAGCAGAGCAGAGCAGAGCAGAGCAGAGCAGAGCAGAGCAGAGCAGAGCAGAGCAGAGCAGAGCAGAGCAGAGCAGAGGAGAGGAGAGGAGAGGAGGAGAGGAAAGAGCTCTAAGGGAAACTCACACTGAACGTGGTCTCGAGCTCGTGCGTGAACCTGATATGCTCTTCGTTGATCTCCTTCAGCTCCTCCTCAAGCCTTCCCTCCAGCTCCTCCCTCTCAGCCTTGCTCATCTTCTCCATGCCCTCCAAGAACTCCTTCTCCTCCGCCGAGCACTTGTGCTCGTTCCCTTTCGAGCACCTCGGCAGCACGTCCGACTCCACGAAGGAGGAGAGAGTCTCGAAGTCTCTTCCTCCCAGGTACGTCTCCCACCAGCCTCCTACCTGCTTGTACTTGAGATTGGGGAACCCGTGCACGTCCACTCGGTGGCAGACGGACTTGCCGCCCTCCGACGTGCAGTCGACCTCTCCTATCCTGATCATGTCCGAGCCCGCGTACTTCTCCGCCAGTTCCTTCCAGTCGCTCTTCATCGAGTTGCTGTGAGCGCACTGCAGGACAGGAAGGTCACCCGTTGCTAAACCTCAGACCCATCACAGTCCGTCCCTCCCTCCCTCATCGTCAGCCTCCTCCACGTCGACTCTTCCCTCCTCAACCACTCACCCATGGAGCATAGAACTTGATGAACCATGCGACTGAATGGTTGGAAGTCTCCTCATCAAAGTTGGTGTTGTTCAATTCTATGACCTGGCTATGCGCACAAGCGAAGAAGAAGAAAAGCTGAAGTCCAACGTCACACAACATCATGCTAGCAGCAGTTTTGTTGCAAAACATTCTCAGTATCTAAAGACGTTTTCTCATGTTGTAAGATACGATTCGTACAGCAATGGAGTTGTATGTGCACGTCTGCTGTGCCTCGGAGACGATCTCAACATTCCTCTGCAAGTACCTGCCGCCCCTGCACTCCCTCTCTTTTCCCGCCCCCCCTTCCCCCGCCAACTTCCTGTAGTTCTCCCCTCACTCTCCTTCCCTACTCACTCCTCTATCCCTTCTCTCTCCCCCGTCTGCCTTCCCCTCTCCTCCATGTATCTCCCTCCCCCCACCCCCCCCCCCCCTTCCCCCAGCGCTCACCAGAATCCCTCGCATGACGTGAGCTGGCACTACCCCTACCCCCTGGATGTCTTGCACCTACCGGCATCACTTTCACACCCACCCATCAAAATCAAACCACCCCACCACTCAAGAGTGAAACAGGTACACAAAAATTTCTTTACCACAGGGTGGGTCGAATGGTATGATGGGGTAATCTGGGAGAGGGGTTACCTTTGGGTAGGGTGATCCATAGACAGGGGGTAGGGTCTTTGAAAAAAGGATGAGCATTCACTGACAAGAGGACGCCATGCGAGGAATCCTGGTAAGAGAGGGAGGACGAGGACGAGGACGAGGACGAGGACGAGGACGAGGACAAGCAGCACGAGCAGCACGAGCCTCAGGGAAACGATCGCAGAGCATTGGACGTGGGAAAGAAGTAGCAGACAGGTCAAGGATAGAAAGAGATATGAGACGGGATAGAGAAATCAGATCAGAGAGGAGAAATTATGGAGGGCTGGCATGCCTCGTTGAAAGGAACGGGCAACGGGAAAGGAAAGGAAAGCAGAGGAGTGTGTGGGAGTCAGAAGCAGGGGAAATACAGACAACAATGTAGTGGGAATGAAGAACAGAGAAGATAGATAACGTTTAAAAGTCAAGAATACTTTACTGGTGAGATGAAGGAAGTGGAGGTCATGTTGGTAGTGCACTTGTCAATTTTTAAATGTAAGAAGAGCCTAGAGAAGTGACATGAAAGATCAAAGCTGACTACCAATGAGTCTTGTTTTCCTCATTCAAAGACGAGTGGTTGAGTATAAGAGGAGTAGAATGCAGAAAGGGTTGTAAAGATGATCGTTTCGTTGGCTCGTACGTAAGAACCAAAGTTTGACAAGTTTGAAAAACTCAAATCAAGATGATGGGGGCAGGGATGAGTAGGCGAGTGGAGCAATGTATAGAGAGTTGTCTAGAGCCCTCGATTGAGGTTTCAGATTCCCTCGTGCCTCTCGTAAGGCCTCCCCAGGTGCTTTGCCTGCTCGCATTGGCTCAAGGGAGCTCAGTAGTCACGCTCGATGACAACTTCGACTCCGAGACCTCCGACCCGTCTGTCGCCTGGTTCATCAAGTTCTATGCCCCATGGGTAGGCTCTGCCCCGAGGCTGATCCTCCAGTGACCATTTTTCTTGCAGTGCGGCCATTGCAATGCCATGAAAGCAGATTGGGAGAACTTGGCGGAGATTTACTCAGACTCTGATGTGATGAAGATCGGTCAAGTTGACTGCACGTCAGAGACTGGAAAGGGCATCTGCGAGAGGCATGGAGTCCACGGGTATCCTACCCTCAAGTACAAGCAGCCAGGTGGGATGTGGAGCATGTACATGTCGGGGAGGGGCAAGGAGCAATTGGCGAGCTTTGTGGAGGACGAGATCCTTCCCAAGTGCTCGTTGGAGAACAAGGCGAGATGCTCGAAGAAGGACCAGAACTTCATGGAGAGGATTCAAACGATGTCGTTCGAGGAACGCAAGGCCTTGGAGGTCGAGCTGAACAAGGAGATTGAGGATGCCAAGCATGCCCACACACTCATCGCCCAGGAGCTTGAGAGCAAGTACCGGGTGAGGATCGGCTGCCCGTGCGTCTTGGTGATTTGAGTGACTACGCTGAGCAGGAAAGCAAGGAGAAGGCAGACAGGCTGAGTAAGAAGATCAAGGTAGCTTCTTGTCTTTGCAACTGACTTGGACTGATCGGATTTTGTGACTTTAAGTTCGAGCTCTCTCTTCTCAAACACTTCGGTAAGGGATGAGATCCGAGTCACTAGTTCAGTAGCAGCAATGATCGGATTGAGGTCGGACTCTCCTGACTGTCCTCGTACTGATTTTTAACTGATTTAACTTTGAGTAAAGAGATTGAGGACCCGGAGGCCAGTGACTTTAGCCTCAGTGTAGTAGCGTTACGCCGTGCGACTTTGAGGGCAAGTTACCCGGCCAAGGTCGCTGAACTTCCGAGTTCCGAACCCGGTGACCGGGCCCCGGCCGGGCGGCCGGTCGGACTCAGGTCTCACAACCCGAGTTGAATAGCCACACAGTGACACGAACTAAGTTGGGCCGGCCTGCACCCCGTTCAGTTCCGAAGTTCTGAACTCGGAAGGGCCGGCCGCTTCAGTGGCAAGAATCGTTGGGCCACTGTACGGTACCGTCAGTTTCCATGACGAGGTAGATGAGTAAAGTTTTGTAGGAAAACGGTCAAGCCGGCTGCTGGGCTAGTAGGAACGAAACATGTCAATGACATGAAACGGGACTGTGGCGACCATCGACACCCTCAAGCCTGTGTATGGGGGGTAGGGGTGGTCCACAGGACCCAGCGGACGGGGTGATACAGATTGGTGTACTGAAGAGAACCCCCAATTGCTATATCATAAATGGTGGTCTAAACGTGGTAGGAGGTGATTCTCTGATAAGGGTGGGGTGGTACTGTAGGGCGGTACACGATCACATAGATTGGGGGTAGGGTTGGGAGGGCTAGAATAGGAGGATCCAACTGCATTGCGAGGAGGGAGGGAGAATGAAATCGAAGGTAGCTCCGGAACCTTTCGTGACAAGCAAGGGAAGAAAAAGCAGCAGCCAGAATGAGATTGTGTGGAAGGGAGACGGTTTCGTACCTTTCTATCTCTTCATCAAGCCCACTCACCAACATGTAACGATCACAAGGGGGGCGGTGAAGATCGAAGAGACCAAAACCAGCTGGATGAGCTCAAAGGTTGAAACGAAGAATGTAGACACCTCTGACTTGTCTCAGATCACGATCGACAAGGTAAGTTGCTTGCTTGAGTGTTTTACCCTTGGCACAGCTCACTTTCCTTTTTGCTCAGGAAGAGCCAGCCTGCTTCTTTGCATTTTTAGTGCCCAAGAAAGCGCATGTAAACTTCAAGGGGAAAGACGGTATGCCGTACACGATACGCATGAAATTACAAGACGTGCAGCAAGTGGAGCAATATCTACTGGAGGTCATGGAGGACGAGCAAGACCGAGATCTTTATCGATAACCATGACATTGCCTTTCGCTGCAGAAACAAAAGACGAGAGAAGATGATGGTTAGGCATGTTGGCCGGCTCCGCTTCTAGCCCTTCCTATAGTCCTGTTCGGCCAAGGTTGCTTCACCCAAGACGGACTTCGAGCGCCGAAGCCATCCCACGTTCTGTGCTCAAGTCCATGCGATAAATGCTAAGAAAACATAATAAACTCAAGCCTGAGGCAAGACATATTGCTGTCCTGCGTGTATGGAATGCAGTCAATGCAACAAGTTTTCTAACAAGCTCGACTTCAGAGCTGCTGATGGATCGCACTGTCACACTTTCAATCATCCTTGCATTGTGAAGCGATTGCTGTAATCATTGCAACGGCACGTACTAGTCGTCGTGCAACCGCCGACACGAAATGTTCCTAAACCCATTTTGTGCCCCCTACAAGTGTTTTATAGCTCCGCCGGCGATTGGCACGGAACGGGAACCGCGGCATGTCAGAACTGGGAGATCGGGTCATGGCGGTGGTCGTCAGCGATGGAGGGGACATCGAGGTGGACAAGGCGCAGAGGAGAAAGCAGCGCAGGGAATCCCTGTGGAGTGGTGAGGGTTTCATTCCCTTCCACCTCCTCTTGAAGCCCTCGCACACGAAGCTGGATGTGACGAGGTCCAACGTCAGAGTAGAGGATGTAAAGATGTCGCTCTTCAAGAAAACGACCCACATTGACAACATTGACGTCTCCTACATCGAAAATATCAATCGCACGACGGTAACCCCCCCCCCTCATGCTCTTCCATTCTCCTCGCTCTGAACTGGTCGGGGATTGTGGGGTTGCTGACCCTTGTGCGTCATGGTTGCAGGTGATACCGGGGTGCTTCTCAGCAAAACGGAATCTTATAAACTTTAAAGACACCAAAGCACACAAGGATTACTCTATCCGGGTGAAGACAGACGAGGATGCCCAGAGATTAGAAGAGATGCTCCTCCAGATCATGGAAGACGAGCAAAGCAGGAGCAAGTTTAGGGACTGAGAGCTTGTCTTAGCTCCGAATAGATAACGGGGAGCTGACATGACAAGAGCAGGTTGAAGTCCTCTTGCCTCTTTCATGTGCAAGATTTCTACGCTGAGCAAAGAGAGAATGCGAGCCGATTGTCCTAGTTTGGATGCCTTCCAGGCTACTGCTGCTAAATCTACGAGCTCGTGATTAGAAGAGAGAAATAAAGTAGAAACGAGATGAGATGTTCCAATCGATCACCAAAAAGTTCGCTGAACCGACAGTAGCTACCCCATTGTGTCATCCCAGCTCCTCTCATTTCAGTGGAACGAAAAACCTTGATGTCGGGAACAATGACTGCAAACCTCTGTTGTTCCTTGCAGAGTTGCGGACACAGGAGCAAAAAGGGAGGGAAATGGTTTGGATGAGAATCTCAAGGGAAAGGCTCTCGGGCAAGCATGTCCAACAACTTCTTATTAGCTCTCGTTTGTACAAGCTCTCAACAGACAAGCATCACAGGATTGCTTACTATGGCGTGACATCGCTTTCTTGCTAGCTCGATCATGACTTTTCTGGTCTCAGGCATTGCAGCCATTACACCCATTTCAAGCTCATGCTTTTCGGTCCAGTCTGCCTCCTGCCCTGGGTGTGGCTGGTTCGCTCCTACGACCTCACAAGCACTGCTTACTCTCTCCAGGCTGTGCTACTATTTATATCCCTCCAGCTGCAATCGCATCATGTGTCAATTCCCCATGTCACGTTGGTCTGTTCGTTTCCAAGAGCCCTCCAGCAGACCTCGCAAGCCACCCCCCTGCCCGTCCATTAGCTCTGTAGCAGCCTCTCCTCTACTCCCCATACAAGAGAGCAGTAGTTCAGCTGGTCGTCCACGGCCTCCGTCGCTGTCTGGCATGCAGCAAGAAGCCTGTCAGTCTTCGCTAGCCATGGCTGCACAAGACAAACTGCCTTGTCGTCGAAGTTGACAGTCGTCGACCTTAGGGCCTGCCAATCCACCCCGTCAAGTCGCAGAACCTCCTGAACGAGCACGAAGATGCGAGTCCCTCCCTTACCACATGCCTGACACAGTGTCTCTTGAACACCTTCCACACCTTCTCGCAATCCACACAAGAAGCTGCTCGAATCTGACAGAGCAAAACTGTCAGAAAATGTGTACAACCATGAGAACATTGTCTTCTCGACCTCACTGCATGCCAGTTGCGACGGATCTCCTGCTCGCTCTCAGCTCAGAGGAGGACCATCCTTGCGGAAGAAGAGACATCCGCACTCACGAAAGTCCATCTTCATCTCCAGGTGATCGAAGGCGTGGACCAGCTCATGCCTCAAAGTCTGCTTCAGGTCCTGAAACGAGCTCGTCAAAAGCAGCAACACCCCTCCCTGAGACGTCAAGACTCCATCCCTCACTGACGTGTCAACAGCATCAAACATCTGCAGCAGAAACCTTGTCGGTGTGCAAGTTGTTGCAGCAAAGAAATATGGAGTCGCCGGGGGGCACAGAGAAATAACCCTTGAGCAATTCTTGCGGGGGGCATTCAGATGTGAGTATCTGGTACCATAATCACATGAAACAAGAGCAGAAGGTATGTGGATGCCAACAGCCTCTCCCTCTTCTCCCCAAGTGTGTCCACTATCGTGAACCTGGTAAACCCCCTCGGTTCGGCTACCCTGAGGCATGCTGGCGGCGATGAAGGCCTACCTTGAGGCTGTGCATGCTTCGCAACTTCTTCACAACATCGTGAATGTCCGGCTCCCTCAGTGCTGACGACAACCTGCGGGGAGAGGTGTCTTTAGGGAACCTCAAACATCCTAGCATGCTATGGGAACTAACGCGATGGCGCAGCTTTTCATATCCAGGTTCCCTGTCCTTGCGTCGATCCTGCTAGGCGTTGGCTCCGCCATCCCAACCAACAAGACGAGGTCGGGCAAGGGAGGACGTGACTCTGTCTCAGAGGGTTCGTGTTCTCGCCTGCTCCAACTTCCAAGTTCGTTCCGAGAGGCGGATCCGAGTTTTATTAGTCCTACTGAGTGACTACTGCCAGCCGTCGGGCAGCGGGCCCGGGGCCGGCCCGGGGCCGGGATCTCAAAAGATTCAAGAGTACCCGGCCCCTTGCAGTGCCAGTTGGCTACGTGACTTCGGAATGAGATGCGTTATGAGTACGGGTACTGATCTGTTTTTCTCCAGTCAGCCAAGGCTAAAGTTACACCAAATTTACTCAATTTACTACTATCACAGTGATACCGGGGGCCAAATGTCAGCCACCTTGGCGCTGAAGGGGACGAAAAACATAGGGGGAAGTAGAGGGGTTGATGACCAGGATCAGGGGGAGGTAGCAGGGGAGGTAGGTTTACTTGTTCCAGAATCCCCCGTTTTCTCCCCCGCTCCCGTCGGATTTCAGAAGATCTCCCCCCCCTCAGTCCTAGCCAGCAGCGCCTATATCGGAGTACCTTCTAGTTGCTCTCCTTTGTATCCTTCCCATATTCCTTCATGCAAGGTACTCAACATGTCCAGCATGGCATCGGGGCACTCTCAGGCTTCCCCTCAAGTGATTGCAAGCAAGCTTCTGATCCGCTACCCGAGGATTCTCCTGCAGTCCGAAGAAGCTTGCAGGACTCGGATGACAAGACCATCTTTCTTGGCATTCCCCCCTCCTCCACTCCGTCGTCGTCGTCGTCGTCGTCGTCGTCGTCGTCGTCGTCGTCGTTGGATTCAAATGGAGCCCCGATCCTGTCCTCAAGCAGGGAACGTGAGGTAAAACTCTTGACCTCGACAGAGCAGAAGCAGCTCAGAGCCCTGGATCACTGCATCAAGCTGCTGACCTCCAAGGAGCGTGCGAGCATTCAGAACTCGTTGGGGGTGTGGATGACGATGTAATTGTAATTGAAATCGAACAACTCAAAGCAGAGAGATCGCTAAGACAACCTGTGCAGCCCTCATAGGAACATAACAACCAACACAGGACATTCTATCGTGCTCACCAGGACGCCTGCGGTAAAGTGTATATGACGTATATGACCATCCGTGTCAAATAACATCTAATTTGTCAGAATTGGTCACGAGGGATGCTGACCAAGTACCCAGGGTACTTCTTCGTGACCAATCTGAACAATTAGGGGTCTATTTGTCAGCTTTACTGATCAGGGGAGATGGAGAGGGATCCTGCTCAGGGGGAGATGGAGCGTCACTGATCCTCGTTGAAGGCTACCTGTGCCTCTCGTAGTGTCAATGACCATCGTTGGATGCCAAGCGCGCTAGCGCTGGCGGTGTGCGCTAGCACACAGAGCATTAATCCCTTCTCATATCCTTTCTGACGATCTCCCTGTTAGGATGCTATTCACCCTAGATGAACCGCATCCTAACAGGCTGTTTGGTGAGGTGGACAAAGACCACCCCTCGAAATAGAAAACATTAGAGATTGCTTTGAAAGCAATCACATCCTAACAGGCTGTTCAGCAGCACCCAACTTAGTTGGGTTCTCTTTTCTTATCAAAAACATTGTTCATTCTCCTTACCATTCTCATAAGGCTTTTTGCTCTCTCATGAGGGTCGGAGGTAAGCCCTGTGAGCGAAGCGAGCTGGGCGGTGTGCGCAGCACACAGAGCAAGGGATCCTTTGTCAGTCATCACATAGTCTTCTATGTACTTATAACTTGATCTATAAGATCCTTGGTCCTTTGTTGGCGGAGGCGCGGAGGCGCTATCCCTAACTTTTCTACATCTTTAATCCAACCCCTCCTCGCCATATGAAATAGTTTGGGGTAACGCCTCCGCGCCTCCGCCAACTATACCCCTATCCTCTCAACTATCACAAAGATTCCTCTAATAATTATTCATAAATCTCTCTTACATCACATCAGGTATTCAATAGAGTATTTATTCATTCTCTCTATCTTCCCACCGCCGCCCCCAGCGGAACCCCCACTCAGATTATTTTATCAACACATATAAAATGGCTGACTCGCAGCATATCTATCGTATGAAGCAGAAGCAATACAATACATTCATTAAGGACCTTGTTGAATCTATATTCAGGAACGAATATGTCCTAGATTTCTTCATTAAAAACAATCTTCTAACTAGGGAGCAAATCAGCTATTATGAGCAATCGAGCTTCACTCATACATACAGAAAGAAGCGAGCTAAAATTGGCATAAGAAAGGGGACTGTCTATCTGATTTTTAATTAAATCTACATTCTAATTAAATGAGCACCTGGATCAGTGGCTTGTCTGTTGATACAGTTCAATATCAGATCAGTTCCCTTAAAACAGCTATCATCAAATTAGATGAGGCACATAAGGCATTGGAGGGTGTTGTTAGTACAAACACAGATGATATCCAAGCCAACGCAACGAGCATTGAAGCCAACGCAACGAGCATTGAAGCCAACGCAACGAGCATTGAAGCCAACGCAGCGAACATTCAAGCCAACGCAACGAGCATTGAAGCCAACACTACGAGCATTGACACCCTACAAACAAGTGTTGATGCCAACACCACGAGCATTGACACCTTACAATCAACAATAACAGATTTATCAAGTGATGTTGAAAACAACTCCAACGCAATATCTACCTTACAATCTATCATAAACCTAGCTGAGAATGCCAACAATCAAACATTGACAGCACTGTTCAACAATGACTCCGATCTGATCCAATTGCTCTATGATGATCAAGCGGCTACTTATACAATCAGTTTGAGAAAGCAAGATGGCTCATATATCACTGTTCAGGACATCATTGATAGCATCAATGGACTAGTAGATAGTGTTAATAGCATTTCAAACCCAGATGATGAAGCCAATCTTGGAGACATAGTTGATACAGCAAATAGCGCATTCGATATCTTCTCTGGTCTGGGTGACTTTGCTTCCGCTGGTGCTGGTTTTGTTGGGGGGTTGATAGCTTCATCCTTGAATACTTCCAAGGCCGATGGTCTTTTTTTATTGAACTGGATTAATGTTTTACGGCTTGCTATTGGCACAGTGATCAATCTCTTAGAGACAGAGATAATACATAGACTTCATCAAGACAGAGCAATCAAGATATATTCACGCAACACAACAGATGGATCACAACTCAATCTAGCTGCTGGCGAAGCATATGTATATGATAGCACATATAAGATCGATGTTGAAGGAAACCCTACGACTGAACTAGATAGCAGGCTTATATCATTCCAAGGCGAGGAGATCTTAACACTAGGGAATGAACTGACACAAACAGAATTAGATGAACATGTGTTTGGTTTTACACTACAGGAAAGCGAAACCTCTGGTGGTATTATTGAGATGATCAATGTTTTGAGAGACTACAAAACAATCTTCAAAGGTAAGACATTGTTTCTTGATGATGTTGTTTTACAAAACTATTACAACAAAACAGAAATTGATACAAATTATTACAATAAGACATACATTGATGGATTAAACATTGGAGTTGGGGATCTATACATCAACGATACAAACTATTTATCGACTGTCTCAGGTCAATATGGCAGTGTTCAAATCAATGGTTCAGGAACTAATAATTGGGAAGGATACAGCATTGATGGCAGGGTTGTATTTACGCATGATGGCAATAATGAATGGGGCATTTATGACGATGTCAATAATAGATGGAAGTACAAAAATAATATTGATGTTGCTCTTGATGAAGCAAACAATAACACTTGGATTGAAAGCAAATCCTTGGTTATTCAAAACAGTTTAGGCACACCATCAGATGAAAGAACAAATAGGAGAACAAACTTAGCTTTTCATGTTCACACTTCATCAACTTGGGCAGGTGGTGTAGCAGCTGAAACAATAACAAAGGGAGCAACTTATGCTTCTATATCAATACTTGGAGGAGATAAAGCAAATCCATATCAAGGATTTTCAGCAACTGGTATGTCTGGATATGGTGCTCTTGTAAAAGAAAGAGAGGTTATTAAGATTTATCCACATGGAACCAATTTTGATTTTAGAACTATAACCGTTGATGTTGATTTTGCTGCTAATATCAATTGCGCAAACAATCTAAGCATATCAGGCACATCAACCTTAACCGGAGCCGTTACTTGTTCAGCAGCACTGAGCGTAGGAACTACATTGAGTGTAACAGGCACATCATCCTTTACCGGGAATGTTGTATGCTCTGGAGATTTGACCGTCAATGGGAATTTAGTCGCCACAGATTATGCCGATGATTTGGATGTCACTGGCACTCTATCAGTGAGTGGCACTTCAACTCTTACTGGAAATGTTACTTGTTCAGGAACATTATCTTCATCTGGAAATATTTCCACAAGTGGAAGCTATCATATTTCAGGCACTGAAATTTTACAGAGTGACAGCACTTGGACAAGACTTTATGGACGATCTAGTGGATGCGCTATTTACAAAGGCATTTCAATGAATGATCAAGGTTATTTAAATCTTGGAGAATGGGCGAGAATAACAGATAATTATGTGAAATGTACTGGAATAAGCCTCGACCGTATCTATATACCCAAAGGTGGTTCTGGTGCTGTTGATAGTGGACAATGGGTTATTTATAAACTCTTAAATTCTGTATCATTTGGAGGAACTAGCGCAACAAATGATTTGATGTTTCAATATGGGGGGCTTGATGATACAGGTGAACAATGGTTGAGACACGATGACAATGCCAATGATGATCTAGACTTTACCGGCTCTCATCGTTGTATTGCTGAAACCTCAAATCTATTAGATGAGATAACATCTAACCTTGACTACTATCAGGGTCTCTTGGTTTCTACCACTGGATTTTATCAAGACTTGAATAGAACAGATTATGATTTTAGCTCTAACATTCGCATTGATAGCTCGCTGCCAATAATCAAATTAACAGACATTCAATGTGACAAAGCTGTGTATGGTGTGATCTCAAATGTGGAGGGAGGAGATAAAAGAATCTATAAGACTGGAAGGTGGCATTATTCATATCCCAAGCTTGACAACAATAGAGTTATGATCAATGCGGTCGGCGAGGGGGCTATATGGTGCTGTAATTATGGCGTTGAAGCCATAGAGAATGGCGATTATCTATGTTCAAGGTGAAGCTCTTTATCTAGCACGACTATGAGCGTTGTTATGAATATACCTTTGAAACATGTTGATAATGATCATGATACAGACTAGGCCGTGTAGACCATTAGTTGTTATGTTGCTTATGGTATGAAGGCATCTGTTAGTTTTTACGTGAGGCGTGATAACCTGATGCGGAGACAATCTAACAACTGAGCGATAGTGCACTTAGGACAGATGCGCAATGAAGCTAGATTTGTTTATGTATAGCACTAAGGATGCACATGTCGACGCCTCATGCAACCTGCTGGCCGCGGCTTAAATGCCAAGCTAGGCTGCTTGTATGCCGAGGTCTAGCTAGTGCTCGTAGTACCACAATAAGTAAATTTGGCATGTGTACTGAACTCGTACCTTGCCTCATGCTTTCATCGTACTAATGCGCCACACGTACGTCTACGTTTGGTACACATTGTCGATTCTAGCATTTTCAATGTGACACATCTTGCAAGCGTACGAAACCTCTTACGACTGCTTGCATGATGCCGCCATGTTTGGAGACTTGCAAGCCAAACCAAGTTATTCAGTGCTGCGGCCGCTGGCCAGCACTGCGGCAGTCGCCGCTGTTTGAACCCGGCAGTACCGTCTGTTCATGACAGTGACTCAAAGTTAAGTTAAAAATCACTGCATTCACTCACTGTGAGTGGACCAGGCGGCTCGGGAAGTTTAAGTTTGAAGTTCCGAACTTGGAACTAGGAAGTTCCGCCACCGTCTGATCAGAGGTCCGGGATCGCCGGGTGTCTTCCGATGCGCGCCGGACCGCAAGTTACCGCCGGTCACCTGAGGCTGGCCGCCTGCGGCCGATGGCGAGTGGCAAACTGCGACTTTCTGTAACCGACTCCGTCACGACTCTGAGTGTAGTCACAGTAATAATATCCAAATGTTCTGAAATAATATCCAAATGTTCTGTGTCTAGATACGGTGCGTGCCAGGATATAACTTGTTCGGTATAGCCCAGCGACCAACTGGCTTCTTGCCAACTGCAAAAGGCCTCAACCTCGTAACCTTGTCTCGTCGGGCTTGCCAGCGGTGCGACTGAACCATGCCAATCCCATGACAGGCGGACGGCCCGTGGCCCACCGTTGCGATTTCGCAATGATCGATAGCGACGTGTGAAAGAAAATTGGCTGCCACCCTTGTAAGCCCCTCTGAATTAGACGCATCCTGTAAGGCCTCACCTATCACACAAGACGTGATTCGCAACGATTCACTTATGGGTCGTATGAGTAACGTGACCGCCAAAGATCCCCCGGTACTGCAGTTTTTAGTTACGTCACAGATAAGAAGAAAGGATTACGAAATTATTTGTCCAGACGGGGTGGGTTCTCGTATCCAGATCTTTCCGCCCTCCTTCCACGACTCTACTTCTACCTCCTCCCTCCTTGCAATCAACACTGCATCCTATCCTGTTCTAGCTAACAACATCGACAACATCTTAGTGCACCACCCAACAACGCCTCTTGTTAACACATGCATCGTTCTCAGCAGACCCAGGACACCTTCGACTCCCTCGCTCTCCTTTCCAACGTGTCAGATGATCTCTCACAAGTTCCTTCCGACCTTCTCCACGAGCTACCTCCTTCCCGCCGATCAAAAGAATTTGAGACGACTTTCTTGCCTTGCGACCATGAGGTCTCCTGCTTGACCCGACAGCTCTCAGCTAAGCAGCTCAACCCGACCAAGCAGAAGCAGCTCAGGGCCCTGGAGCACTGCATCAAGCTACTGATCTCCAAGGAGCGCCCCAAGATCAAGAACACTGTAGGAGTGTGGATGACAATGTGAAAATAATATGGCAGCGAGGAAAGGGTAATAAAATGCAACATGGGAATAATTCCTGTCTCTGCCCGCTTGCCCTTGCGCTCCTTTGAATCGTCTTGTTGGAGGGTGTAGGTTTCGACGCCCATGTGTTGATGAGTGAAGACTTGAGCTCCTTCACAGTCCCTGCTTTCTTGGAGTCATGCACAGATCTTATTGTCCTGGTTCTTCGAGGAGGAGACTCTAGTAGGTATACATCCGAGTCAATCATGACATGTCACAGTGAACTCGCTGAGTCCCGGTCCGGTCGTCGCCAGAACCCAAGTTGATGGGTACTACGAGACAGTTGAGTTACGGTATGCACTACCATGATGATAGTTCACGAAGCCGTTGAAGGCCATCCGATCCAACTGGCAAGCATGTGAAAGAGCCTTCTCAGATGCGGGGCCCGGGGTGGCGCCGGTACTCAGAATCGAGCTTCTATCCGCTGATACCGTCTACACTGACACTTATGATAGTAGTCCGGCAGCCCGGCAGGCGGCCGCGCGGTCGGGCTAACTTAACTAGTAACGGAAGTTCGCCGCCGCGGGCCGTCCGATCCGGCGGGGCGCACGTCTGCGGCCGGAGTCCGATCCGACGTGGCTGCTCAGGCCGGCTGAGCAGCCTCCGACGGTCACCGTGGCAGTGCCAGGGCCGGAGTGGCATGGCAGTCACTGGGCCGCGGAGCGCGGCCCCCGCGGCTGAGCCCGGATGATCTGCCGCCGACTCAGGCTGACTCGGTCGCAGTGACCGGGCCGGCCGGGCCCCTCAGTACGATCCGGGACGTAAGTTAAGTTACACCGTACTGGCTAGCCCGTGACCCGGGCCCCGGCCCCGTGATCCCGGGACCCGGAGCCTCGGACTCCCGGCGGGCCCAGCCGCGAGTGTCAGTGCGGGCCGGTTGAAACTGTGGCATAGAAGGTGCTAGTAGTCGCCCTACTTCCTACGCCTCACGATAAGACCCAGACTTGACGGGCGGCGGCGGAGCAACAATGGTATGTGTGGCGGCATGAATCAGGAGAACGGTTGGAAGGGAAGCAGAGGGCTCATGGGGAAGTAGACGAGGAGAGGAGGAGAGAGTCGATCCTAGGAAGCGATCTCGGATGTGGGAGCTAGTAGAGTGTGAGAGCAAGAGCCTGAGACGCTGAGTGCTGTAGTGCTGAGAACAGGGAGCCCGGAGGACCCCTATCCTTCAGCTCAGTCTCTGAAATGCCCTTGTCCGGGATGAAATACTCAATCACTGCACTAGAAGAACAGTGATTGCGGTCTTGAAGGGTGATGGTGTCTCCTTGCAAATGTAGTCTGTCCTGAAAGTGATCGCAACTGGACGGAATCATTCGATATGGGCGGTTGGAGGCGCGCTCTCATATCATATGGTGTGCAGGCTCGCAGTTGAGGAACTTCTAGCTCAAACGCATGTCGGCGCCTTCTGCTCTTGAAAGCCTGGGCAAAACTTTGACAGAGTGGAGACAGCGGGAGGAGGAGCGGAGAAAAGCTGGCTCCCAAGGTGACGGAGAAGGATGGGACAACGACGACATAGCTGCCAGACTGGAGGAGCAACAGGCAAAGCTGGAGACAGCCAACAAGGCCTTCGAGGCTGCGGTAAGTCGAGGCATGCTTCGTTGCCTCCCACGTGAACCATGCCCTTGGTCAGGTCCGCGCCAAGGACCGTCATGCTTACTTCATGGCGAGAGTGGCGCTGGGTCAGTGTAAAGATGCATATGTGAGCTGTGAGCTGAGACCGGGTCAAGTGGTAAAGTCACCGCAGGCGCAGCTGGCAGAGTCGAGGAACGAGGCGAGCTTGTCGCTGAAGCTGCAGCAGCTCGAGCTGGACATCGAGCACATGGAGGCCCAGTCTCCTCTTGTTACTCTGTCGACCGCCACGTCCCTCGACAACTCGGCCACGGTCTGATCAAATGCCGGCGACTGTTGCGATTTATCTCCGTGATGTTCATGTTTGTTGTGACTTGCGTGTGCTATGTTGATGTGGTTGTTTGCCATCGTTTCCGTCGGTTTCCTCGTGGACGGTTGTTGACAGGGATGCGGTGTTGAAGCCCGATGCTCCTTGTCGAGCTGAATGAATGTGCTCCTGACTTTGCCTGGCTGGCAGGTCACGCCAAGGGAAGATGACATGTACTCGAGAATGGATGAGTGTGAGTGATAGCCTTGAACATGAACTGATGGCGTGACGGGTGAGCAACAGCCGTCGCGTCTCTTGTCAGGAGCAGACTCGGTACCTCACTGATCTCAGTCAAGGTGCAACATTGACGATCTCGAGGTAGATGACGAGGCGTCTGCGGATGAAACGACCAACGTCTCCAAGGTATCCTCCCTTGCTGCTCTTCTTCTCCTTCCCATGACAACCTCTTCGTAATCAGAAGGTCAACGCGCACAAGTCAAGGAGGCTGACAGGTCTGCGACCCCTTCGTGTTAAACGTCGGCTGACCCTCCGATCGCAGATGATGACCTAAGTCATCAGAAGGTCTTTGCGGATAGCCTTCCTTACAACATTATGCTCCTGCTCATTCTCCTGCTCCTGCTCCTCTGCTCGTGCTCCTGTGCTCCT